CTCTGTTCTAGGTTGGCCTCGCGATAGGAAATTTCTTCATGCCAGATGTTCTGTCCCGATCAATGACTATGGTTTCCCTTTACGTAGTCAACATTTCGGTAGGTGTTTAGCTTTTCAAGTGTCCCATACATTCCTCATTGAGACGAGATTTAGTGTCTCATCGTCCTGCTGCTAATCAACTATCGCATTACAACCGCGATTGCTGGAACTGGTGCTGCACTGTCAACGCGATACCAGATTACAGAAAATATCAGGACCATAAGGCATATAGATTAAACTTTTCTTCCAGAATTTCGCCCAGTTAAAAGATTTACTTTAGAGTTCTTCTCCCAACGGTCCTCTTCGATGCGCTCGTTACTGTCACCGATGTATGTGGTGCCATGCTTTTTGATTTGGAACATATCTTTAATATAGAACGATGTAATGACAGCTTGTATGTAAAAGTCTTCTACAGTTTTATAACGGTAAGCAATTTCTGGAAAATAAATGAACGGAAAGAAAATAAGAGATTTGGGGAAAAAAGCTTATGGGGAACTTCTTGGCGAAATACGGATGGGAAGCACTTAAAAGGTCTGCGATGTGTTGTACATCTTTTGATACGCACTATCAGAGTAGTCTGCAAATTAAATATCCTGTTGACAACCTTAGCTATGCACTTCATAAATCACGGAATTTCTTATACTTTTCTTTCTTTCTCTTTCTTCTTTCTCATTCAACAATAATGATGCGTAGATTGTAGTACAATTCATTGTTAGCAAGCAAGTACGCAAGCTACCGTCGAAAATGTAAGTTTAATTTAATTGGGTAAGGTATTGAAAACCTTTTCTATCCAGTTTCATCATGCATTTCAAACTATTTTACGTTGCATTTGCAGCTATCCTCAATTTTTGAATTCCTTGTGCCATTGTCTCTGTTGTTGTCACATCCTGCATATCGGCGGCATTCACTGTTGCTGTATGAACGTCAACCTCTTCGAATAATGCAACAGCATTCGGTAGTCAAGGACAAAACATTACCAAAGGTTGGATTCTGATACAAACCTTCTCAAAGATAATGATAGTCAATTAATTTTAGGTAATCAATGTTCTCGGCATAGAGATCGCCAATGCAAGCGAGCAGGCGTATTTCGAGAATCTTTCACGGGTTTGGAATCTTCGTTTGTAGAACTGATTGTGAATAATTGCAATGAATATTGTTAGAGTCCAGTAGACAGTTTACACAGACTACCAGCGAACGTTCCCGTTTTGTGCAATGTATTCACTGTGGACCTACCTTTTTGCGACACTTTCTATGCTTACAGCCATCAATGGAAGTGTCTTTATAGCAATGCAATGAAGTAAACTTCCAGTAATTCAGTATATCACAAAAGTGCTTGCAGAGTATTATTCCACAAACTATGCATACTAGTTATGATGGTAAGTAAATCAGAAATTTGTAAATAAACATGCATGTAAAAGTGGGATTCTAATGCAAGGGTGAAGTTTACTATCGCCTGTGCGAGAGCTTTTGCAGCTGAAAGCCTGAAAGATGTGCAGCAATTTAGATTAATCGCTACATTGTTAAAGTGCAACTTTTTAATTTTGATAAAAGACAGAGCATGCAGTAGCAGCTTAGGTGTGGTGGGCAATATTCCGCTTTGTAGCCGTGGTTTCTTTACTGCCAGTAACATATTTTTACAAACAAGAAGCGCGTTTCCTGCTTACGCAGGGCTTGTTGTACAAGTCAACGGTCCCCAGTATTCTCGGTTCAAGGTATGTGATTATCTATCAAGCTCTCTCAAATCTCTGATTCTGTCCATCCACCTCATCTTTGACTTTCCCGTGGCCTTTTTCAGCGACCTCCAAAGACATTGTCATTCTTGTGACGTGGGTCTCTTCTCTTCCGCTCATATGCCCGTACCATCGCAGTGTTTTTCCTGCATCTTTATGGTGATGGCAGCATCTTTCATCGAATTGTGTCAACAGACATGATCTAGCAAAGTGATACCCAATGTCCACCGCAGCATCCTTGTGTTCATGACACTAATCTTGTGCTCTTTATCTCGTGTAATTGGCCATCAATCATTGCCACACAGCGCTGTTGGATGGAGCGCGATATATACGGGAACTAAGTTGAACTGGCATTCGCTTATCGCATAGAACTCCTGTCTATGCTCTCCATTTGATCCAGGCTACGTTTTCCTTTTCGATAGCTCATCTCAAAGACCTCCATCTCTAGAGCTGAGACTTTATGGGTATTTGAAAGTACTCTTCTTCTTGATTGGCTCATCATCAATGTATATGGTTTCTGAAGTTTGACCTCTCTTTATATGATCTATCTCTATCTTCCTTATGTTGAGCTTCAAGCCGTACGATCCCAATTAGTCCTTCCATCTCTGTACCTCATCTTCAAGTTCTTTTCTGTTTTCTGCCACCAGCGCCGCATCATATGCATTGCATACAGGAGAGCCCATGGAGGCTGTTGGTTTAGGCTTTTCGTCGCTGCTTCCATGGCTGTGATAAACAGTAGAAAAGAGACCATCAATCCCTGATGTATCCCAGTCTTTACGCAGAATGGTTTCGATTGCCCTGCCGCAGTTTGCAAATGGCTTATGGCTTCGTGATAGATTATGTTTGTCCATTGGATGTATACTTCTGGAACCATGTGCTTTCTCAGTGCCCACCATACGCATTACATTGGGATGCCCTATCGAATGCTTTCTCCATTCTCAGGAAAGCCGCATGTAGCTCTCTTTGTTGTTCTCTATACTTCTCCATCACTATCCGTACAATATGGATGGCGCAGTACCGGCACTTTTTACAAATCCGCACTGATTGGGTGACAACTCCATGTGCTCGAAGTCGTGCTCTAGAAGATTC